AGGTGGGTACTGATCATATTGTCTCCAATTATCTCTGTTATGACCATAATGGGATGGTCCCATCTCTTTTTTAGATATAGGTGTTTTCTGGGTTAGATTTGCATTTTTAGGTGTTGTAAATGCTATTGATTTTTTCACTACTACTTCACTATTTGGTATAGATTTAGTAGGTGTACTTTCTGTAGATGTAGTGCCTGTGTTATTAGTTTTGCTTTGCCATTTGTACACCTGTTTAGAACTAAAATCTTGTATCACTCTTTGATATTTCCTTTTTTTCTTATTTTTATTTTCCTGATCTTTATTTTTTTACATACTTATTCAATTCACTCATATATTTGCCAAACTCAGAGTGATCCTTAAATGAATCTATTTTTTCTGCTTGTTCTTTTACATTTATTTCAATCTTCCTCATTTTCCTTTGTTTCCTTTTGGTAAGAAATACCAATAATTCTAAACTTTTCTCACTAAAGAAATTATACCATTCAATTTTATCCTCCTCCTCCGTTAGCCCATCTGCAATGGGTAAATCCCATCTCAATTTCCTGGGTATTAGTTTTTCTTTTATGTATTTTTCCATGGTTATGATGTCCCACCATGTGTTAATTTTTTTCTTCATTAAATGTCCTGCCCGTCTAAACACATTATGAATATTTATATCATTTTTATCATCTGCCTTAAATATAGCTTCAATATCTATATTTCTGTTTTCCAAATAGGTGAATACTTCCATGTTGTCTCTAGCAAGTATGGTAGGTTGTAAATCAATTAGCAGATATCTGTGTGACTTGCGAGCCAATTTATATCCACCCGATGTTAATCCCCCCAAGATCATCAAAATAATGGGCACGCACTTTCCCAAATGTTGATAGGATCGCAAACACTTAACACACTACTACCTCTGTGTCCCCTAAAGTTATTGATTCATATTGTGTTGCGCTCCCAGTGAAAAATATCTGTGATTTAAATAACTCTATTTTACCCTTGGTAAACAAATATATAATACGGTGATTGTGCAAGAAATGTATGCAAAATAAAAAATATATATTACTAAAAAATCATATATATTTTCCACTAATAATATCCCCAGAACCAATAAGTGATAAAATAATATGTACTATAACATATCTATAAATAAATCAATGTGCATCATGATTAGTAAATAGCAATAACATCAAAGTGAAAGCTAGTGAGAAAACTGTACACAATGATACATTTTCACAAAACAGATCAATATTTGAAAAAGACCAGTGCTATGATCAGATAACAGCCTAGGAGAAGGTAACTAGACTGGTTTTTGCTATTGACTACTTAAGGTAATTGGCACTCTGTCCATGCTATACAATGTGCTGTGTTGCACATAGACCTGAAAAATGGCAGGATAATTCACACAAATCTCAATAAATTTAAAACAGAAAATAGGAAATGATATGTAAGAAATGATATGTTAAAAGACTGGTGGTCATCTTATTGGTATTCCTTATGTCAGGGGTGGGCAACAGTGGCCCTCCAGTGGTTGCAGAACTACAAGTCCCATGAGACATTGCAAATCTGACAGTTACAAGCATGACTCCCAAAGGCAGAGGCATGATGGGACTTGTAGTTCACCAACAGCTGGAGGGCCACAGTTGCCCACCCCTGCCTTGTGTGATACAGTCTGTCGGTAGCAATAAAACATCAGTCTTTTTTTTTTTTTTTCCTGAGCCTTCCTATAGCTCCTCTATAGATACAATTGAAGATCAAGTATAGCCACCCTAGGACAGGAAGAGTGTTACTGGCGAGATTGTCAAGTGAAATTACAGGAAAGACCATAAAAAAGAAAATGAATGCAGCAACCATATCTAAGGATCCATAAGTTGAAATATACTACATTTTTCTCTTTGGGTTTAGATACCTTCTAAGTGCGGCCCTATGCACCACCAATCGACCTGTGACATAGGCTGTTCCCTGCCACAGTGTAAAGAAAAAAAAAACATGTTTTGTGGTTCTCATCCAGGAAGGATGAGGGCCTCCAGGGTGCTTGTCATATACAGAGGAAACAGTTTTTTCTCTTTCCTCATAGGTTGGTAAAACCCAGTTTGGAACCTGGAGTCTTCATGGAGACTTGGGAGAGATGACGTCTCCAATCCTGGGACAAAGTTTTATGAACAACCAGGACACTAATTGGGTAGTTTCTGCCAAGGAGTCATGAGGGCCCCACCTAGGAGACAGGTGGGAGCCAGTGAAACAGGGAGCTACTAGGTGGATGCATAGAATTTGACTAAGAAGATTGTCTGGAGAAGACAGACAAGGGTCTGAGGACTGAGGCCAGAGTAGCAGTACTGAAAGTGTAAGCCAGGAAGATGATGAGAAATACTGAAAACCCCCTATGAAGGAAGAATTAAGCAAGTAGCTGTGCCCGTAAAATTCTATTATTTAAAAAGCTGGTACCTACAGGCCACACATTATGTTCAGTGTATGTAAAGACACAGCAGACTATCAGAGACTGCAAACTTACTACAGGAAATGGTCAGGGGTCAAGGACATGCTGCCAAAAAGCATCAGAGGATGAGGACCTGTTACAATAGACTCTAAGAAATCATTGCCATTAGTGTCCCTTTACAAATCAGTGCTCCGCTATCTGTGCTCACTATAGCTGCGATTAAATCAATGTGCAAAATTTTGATGTGAGATCCTCAGTTACGAGGTGGTATCAAAACATTTTGAGACTAGTATTGTAACATGTCAATAGATGGCAGGACAGGGCTGAACGCACAGTCACAGGGAGCACCGACCTTAACAAGTCAGTGTGCCAAAAGCCATCATCCTGTGTACATCAGGAGCTGTGCAATTTGTGCTATTCTGACCATGTGCGTTACCACGTCTGCTGTTTCATCATGTTCAGAAAGTTAGAACAAAGAGCAAACATGAAATTCTGTGTGAAACTGGGAAAATCACTGGATCTCCGTAATGTTGTCAAATTGGCAACCTTTGAGCTGGATCTTCATTTTCAGGAAAAGGGCAGTTTTGGGGGTTGAGCTCATTGAAGGTCTTCCTGATCTTTTGTCGTCTTCCTGTGATATTTGTCTGCTCTTGAAGCATGCTTGCCACTCAAAACACCTCAAGCAGCTCATTGCAGCATAGCCATAAACTTGCCAAATCATGTCAAACATCTCTGTGCCAGATTTGCCCAGTTTAACGCAGAATGTAATATTTGCTCTTTGTTCTAACTTGCTGTCCATGATGAAATAGCAGAAGTGGTAACACACATGGTCAGAATAGCACCAGTTGCAGAGCTCCTGATGTCTTTTGGCACGCTGACATTAGAAGGTTGGTGCTCCCTGTTACTTTGTGTGCAGCCTTGTGCAGCATTTGTTTGCCTATTAAAAAACTAGTCTCAAAACTTTTTTGATACCACTGTGTAGATGTTTACCCTTTTTTTTTTGGAATTTCTTTATTAACCTATGAGCATTATTATCATATGCAAGTACCCAACAAGATCCTATCCTTTCTATTCAAGAATGTGTTAAGATATTACATTTTTTATAATTAACATTTCATTAATATTATCATCTGGATCTTCTTTGGAGTAGGGGGTGATGCAGGTATTTGCTACCTGCAAGTAAAATTTGACAGACGTAAGACTTAGGGGTCAATTCGGTAAAGGTTACCGCATGCGATATCACTGTCACATAACTCATTTGCATAAATTATTGCATGTGGTAACAAAATGTCCAATTTACAAAAGAAAAATATAACGATTCTGTGGTATTTAACACAAAATTAAAAATGTGTCGGTAAATACTACAAAAAAAAAAAACATGCTGGAAGCTGTTCAATTCATAAACAGAACAGAAACTAGAAAAAGATTCAAAATTCATCACCAGGGTTTTGCTGGTAGTATCACATGCAGTATTTTTTTTTAGATGCAGCAAAGGGTTCCCCCCAACCCTTAGGGGTCTGGTATGGATATTTAGAGGGACCCCATGCCATTTTATTTCAGATTCATCCAGACCCAAAATCCCTTAGGATTGTGAGGGGACCCGCATGCCTTTTTAAAAAAAATTTGGTGTGGGATTCCCCCAAAATCCATACCAGACCTAAGGGCCATTTTTTTTTTGGTGTGGGGTTTTCCGTAAAATCCATACCAGACCCAAAGGGCCTGGTACAGATGGGGGAAAAGCCCCCATTATTTTTAACCTTCTTCTGCCCGCCAGACGGTGCACATCAATGCCACATATCAGTGCCCATCTGAACTGCCTTTCAATGCCACCTATCAGTGCCAGTCAGTGCCACCTATCAATGCCAGTCAGTACCACCTATCAGTGCTGCCAATCAGTGCCACCTATCAGTGCCAGTCAGTTCCGTATATCAGTGCCAGTCAGTGCCGCCTATCAGTGCGGATCAGTGCTGCCTATCAGTGCTCATCAGTGCTGCCTATCAGTGCCGCCTAACAGTGCCAGTCAGTGCCACCTAACAGTGACAGTCAGTGCTGCCTATCAGTGCCGGTCAGTGCCGCCTATCAGTGCCATATATGAGTGCTGCCTTTCAGTGCCCATCAGTGATGCCTGTCAATGCCCATCAGTGCCACCTACCAGTGCCTCCTCATCAGTGCCCATCCGCGCCACCTATCAGTCCCCATCAGTGCAGCCTATCAGTGCCCATCACTGCAGCCTCATTAGCGCACATCAGTGAAGGAGAAAAATCACTTATTTACAAAATTTAATAACAGAAACTAAAAAAAAAAAATTTTTTTTTCAAAATTTTCTGTTGTTTTTAGTTTGTTTAGAAAAAAAATAAAAAACCCAGACGTGATTAAATACTACCAAAAGAAAGTTCGATCTTTCTCAAAAAATAATACAAATTTCATATGGGTACAGTGTTGCATGACCGCACAATTGTATTTCAAAGTGTGACAGCGCTGAAAGCTGAAAATTGGCCTGGGCAGGAAGGGGGTATAAGTGCCCTGTAGGCATGTTTTGTTTACATTCAGCTGTTAGTGGGACACCCGCTGACAGCTGATGAGTCATCCGTTGTTAAGGACACCATGGCTGACTTCCTTAACAACCAGCTAATGTGCAATAAATTACAATATAAAAATATGCAGTAATTACCTCAATACAGATATTTTACTGCAAGAGTTATTTATCGAAAATTCTTAGTGAATTGCACATTTGCAAAAATTTACCCCATGCGTTATTTTACCACATTTTGTTTGTCAATATTTAACTCTTAGTGAATTGACCACTGACTTACTTCGAACGCAAGCTTCATAAAATTAGATATAAACCTATATTTTCTTTTTTAAGGGTGACCAGAAGACTTGTGAACATAGTATTGGTGATGGGTATTAGTGATGCAGGATCTCCTATTCTTTTCAACTTATGCAACTACTAAGAGACTGTACACCGCGATCCAAATTATTATGCAAATTCTATTTAAGTGTCACAAAGATTAAATATTTTGTTTTTTAGTTTAACTCATGGATGGCATTGTGTCTCTGGGCTCTTTTGATCACTGAAAACAATAGGGTGTTTTCCCCATTATTAAGCAGAGCACCATTTTCAAGCAATATGTTGGAAAGAAAAAAAAATCTCTCTG